TAAAACAACTACTCGTATAATCGGAAACTATTCACTTAAATTGTTTAGAAGACTGTAGGCGTCTGAATATTGAATTATTCCAAAATTGTGACGTAACCTCAAGCTGCTTAATTTGTGTAATTTACCCGATAGAGAGACGTTAACACGATGCCGAAATCACATTTAAGAGTTCGTATCACATGTCATACAGAACTCTTCAAACATTTCTATAGTCTTGGATTACTACAATCATAATCCAGATGAAAACATCGCTACAGGCATTCCGTTGTATCAATTGCAGAAAAAATCAGCTACGACAGTTGACCATAAAAATAAAGTAAAGCATTTTATTCAATTCTAGCAACAGTAAAAAAGACATTTTATTCAATAAAATCAGCATGCATATCTTTATCTAACCATAAGCATTTAATAGAATATAAACTATGACGCCTTGTGATCAAAGCTCGAATCTTATTAATATGTATTCAGTATTCTCAGATGACTGTTACACAGCATATATAATGTAATACAGCAGCGCGGTCCTTAATGTCACACTAAATTTTTGGGTGAATCTCCACGACCTTTATGACCTATGTAGTCGTATGTCGGATACACTTCTCATATTGTCGATATCACTGATCAACAGCCAAAAAATATCCTAAATAAAATCAACAAAATATTACTATTTTTAATGTGCTAAAATCGGAATGAAACTTATTTTTTCAATATTAGTTCAAGTTTTAGAGATACCATAATTATATGTGTTCCTGCTGTGACAGTTTTAATATACTGTAATTCACAAGAATGCACGTGCTACATTTTTAAATTCGGCAAGGAAAGATGATGTAATCGGCATGATTGTGTTATGTTATACATACGTGTACATTATATTGTTTTATATTAGCTATTTTTCCTCAGTTGGCTGACAGCGTTCATGCAAGATGTCTCGAAAGTGTGTAAACAATCCAGATCAGTTTTGTTACGTGTGTGGTGATGTGACTTTTGCGTCTCAGAAACGGTCTATTACTCCACTAATAACAAAGGCATATCAGCTTTATTTCGGTTGTAAACTAGGTGATCAAGACAAACAGTGGGCACCCCACATCTGCTGTAATACATGTGCTTCAAGTCTGAGGAGCTGGTTAAATGGCAAAAAACGGTCTATGCGCTTTGCTGTTCCAATGGTTTGGAGAGAGCCTACAAATCATATTAATGATTGTTACTTTTGCATGGTACTTTGTGTTGGACAAGCCACAGGTATGTCCAAGAAAAAAAAATCGGTTATTAACTACCCAAACATACCATCTGCGATGAGACCTGTGCCTCACAGTGACGAAAAACCTATTCCAAAACCCCCAGAATCCTACACTTGCGAATCAGAAAACGAATCAGATCATGGCGATCGAGTGATTCGTCAGGAAGAAGATATGCCATCAACGTCAAGAGATCCTGATTTTATACCGAGCACGTCATGCCACCAACCGCACAAAATAACACAGTCAGAATTAAATGATCTTGTAAGAGATTTAGAACTTCCAAAATGTAAGGCAGAGTTACTTGGATCAAGACTGCAGCAGTGGAACTTGTTAGAAGACGATGTTAAGGTATGTGTTTTTCGTAAACGCCAAAAAGGCTTAGAACCATTTTTCAATATGGAGAATAACTTGGTTTTCTGCAGTAACATTAACAGCTTACTAGCGGATTTAAATATAAACTATAACCCAGAAGAATGGAGATTGTTTATAGACAGTTCAACATTGAGTTTAAAGGCAGTGTTATTGCATATTGGAAATATTTTACCATCTCTTCCTGTAGGGTATGCAGTTCACATGAAAGAATCATATGACAATATGAAGTACCTATTGACATGCATAAAATACGATAAAATACGATGAGCACCAATGGCGATTTGAAAGTTGTTGCACTTTTACTTGGGCTGCAGCTAGGCTACACAAAGTTTTGCTGTTTTTTGTGTGAATGGGACAGTCGGGCAAAGGCACTTCATTACACCAGACAAAACTGGCCTGTTCGTCATTTCCTAGAGCCAGGTCAAAAAAATGTACAGCATATGCCATTAGTAGATTCGAAAAAAAATTTATTACCACCACTGCATATCAAGTTGGGCCTAATGAAAAACTTTGTCAAGGCATTAGATAGAGATGGGTCAGCTTTTCAATACCTGCGTCAGAAATTTCCAAGACTATGTCAGGCAAAGGTTAAAGAAGGTATTTTTGTTGGGCCACAGATTCGAAATATTTTGAAAGATACACAGTTTGAAAACACTTTAACAGGTATTGAAAAAACTGCTTGGAATGATTTCCGTCTGGTGGTCACTAATTTCTTGGGAAATAGAAAAGCTGACAACTATAAAACCCTTGTCAAAAATATGCTGTCATCGTATCAAAAGATGGGCTGTAATATGTCTCTTAAGATACATTTCCTACACTCACACCTGGACTTTTTCCCTGACAATTGCGGAGCCGTAAGTGATGAGCACGGCGAACGTTTTCATCAGGATATTTCAACAATGGAAAAAAGGTACCAGGGAAAGTGGAATCCTTCCATGCTTGCAGACTACTGTTGGACTCTTGGTAGAGATGCTCCAGAAACGATCCATAAAAGAACAGCAAAAAGACAGCGCATATAGTGATTCTTATAAGTATATGAATCTTGTTACTTTTTTTAAAGATCCTTAAAAATAAAAAGTTTTTTTATTTTATTGTTATTTTTGGATTCAGCGCCCCAAAATTAACAAAGAAGTGCACTTTTCCCACAAGATACAATTAAAAAACTAAAATTTGTTGTCCAGTGTATTCGTAGGTAGACGGAATGAAAGTAAGCTGCAGGGATGCTCCATACAGGAACAACAATTAGTCATTGCGGTCCTGTATTTAATGTACTTATATGAGAGAGAGAAAGAACGCGTTTGAAGTGTTTTCGAAGCTTGCTTGCTATCGACGGTGGCCAACGTCACATACTACGGCCGCCTCCCGTCAATCAACTTTGCTATAATTTCGAGCACTTACTTTAGTTTCATGATATTAAAATAAATAAATTGAATCAGAAAAGTCAAGAAACTGTTGTGATCGTACATATTTTCGGACAAGAGTAAAGAGTAAGGATATGCCAATAATCTTCCTTTGATTCTTCATTCTTTGGCTATTATAATTTTTGTAGTATAGTGAATTTAGAAATTGCTTCCGCAGAAGCCAATAACCAAATTGCCAAATTTGTATGTTTTGAGTTTACTCATTCTTTGTATTATACAAATTCTTTAAAGCACTTACGCATTTTAGCCGTTTCCTGGCTTTAGGGTTATAAAGAAATTGAGTTAGGGTAGTAGGTGCCAGAACCTAAAAAAATAATGTTACCTGTTTATTTGCACCTCCTTCTGTTTCTGTTTTATTGTCACCATGTTATAGTTACCATATTTAGAGCCGTTACTAAACTGCCTGTAAGTATCTGTTTCTTCATACAGGTGTCACTATCTGCTAAGCTCAGTATATATTTTGGCTACACAGCATGCCAGTGCGCTTCCACTTAAGAACCATAGACACTTTGCAACAGCGATTTACTCAGTTTTTGATTCGTGATAAAAAAGAAACCCTCGTTGCAGATTCTATTTTACCTGTTTTTCGTCATTAAATACGGGACCTCGTTGGTGCGGAACTCGTCCTGTCGTGGGGAATAGCGTTACTGTTATAATATGACGTATGCTGTAATTTTTTCTCTTGGGCTCTGAAGTGAGCGCTTTGAATTATTTTCCAGTCCGCCAATATTTCCGCCGCTACAGATAAGAGACGAATGTGACGTTTCTCACATGAGCCAATTAAAAATTCAAACGGATTCCATTTGCTAGTGGTAATTAAATCATTCATGCTGATTCCGGTAAATTATTCCACGAATGAGACTGGACTTTTTATGCTTCTTAGAATTATTTTTATTTTCGCTATAAAGCAAAGACACGTTCATGTGTGAATGTCCAATGCAATGAGAACGAAATGGTATTATGCAAAGTGACTGTTAGATTAGTACCTGGTTTGTGCTCTAAAGTTTGCATAAGCAACAACACTGATCTTCGCATCCATCTACTTTGTCTACGAGGGATGTCCTTTAAGTTTTGCATATAGAAACATAGTACGCCGCGCGGATCGAACATCACTACTGAATTTTAACCTCGCTCTTTAGTAAACTTAAATTCAAAGTTTCACAACAATAGGTGCAGTGTTCTCACTACAGTGAATTTTTAAGTGTCACCAAGTCATTAGAAAAATGGAACTCAACCGAGAGCATTTTCGCGCCATAATTTATTACAACTTTCAGCGACAATTGTCGCAACAAGAAGGCCTTGCTGAGTTACTGTCTGTATGGAGAACTGAAACGTGTACGGGTGAGTCTTAGCGACGATTCCAGGGTGGGTGCACCAAAAACGGCAGTCACCCAGGAAAACGTCGATGATGTGCGCAAACTCATCATTGAAGATAGACATGTGACATATCGCGAAGATCTCAAAGACCTCAATTCAAAAAAAATTACATGAAGAATTAGGAGTAAGAAAATTAGTTTCTCGTTGGATACCCCACCTGTTGACTGAAGAGCAGAAAGCAGCCAGGGTTAATTGGTGTCAAAAAACGCTTGACCGTTTCAATTCCGGAAACTCAAAAAATGTGTACAGCATTGTAAGTGGTGATGAATCGTGGATTTACTGTTATGAACCAGAAAATAAACGACAGTCGGCTGTTTGAGTGTTCCAAGGTGAAGAAAAGCCAACCAAAGTCATCCGTTCTCGAAGTGTTTCGAAAAAGATGGTCGCGATATTTGTGTCAAAAGCGTGTCATATTGCAACAATTTCTCTTAATGAGCAAAGAACTGTTACTGCGGATTGGTATACCACTATTTGTTTGCCAAAAGTCATCACCGAGCTTCGAAAAATCAACCCTGTAAGAAGAATCATCCTCCACCAAGACAATGCAAGCTCGCACACAGCCCAAATAACAAGGAAGTATTTAAAGGAAGAAAACGTGGAGTTATTGGACCATCCTCCATATAGTCCCGATCTAAGTCCCAATGGTTTCTTTACTTTCCCGAAAATTAAAACAGACTGCGAGGCCAAAGGTTCCAGTCACCAGAAGAAGCAGTTGACGCATTCAAAAATGCCGTTTTGGATCTGCCAGCAAAAGAGTGGAACAAGTGCTTCGAAAATTGGTTCGCGCGCATGCAGATGTGTATTAATCTTCGTGCAGAATACTTCGAAAAACAATGAAGTCATTTAACACTACCTACCGTGTTGTTTTATTTCCATATGCAAAAGTTTAGATCAGTTAGTGAGGTTGTGAGATGTTGGGGTTACTGGAAACAAGAATGTCTTAAGTCTTGGGTTAAGAAGAGTCTTTTTTCTAGTTACTAGTCTAAACTCTCACTTATATTTACTAGCTTTTTACAATAATGAATATAAGTGACATTCCATTACTAAAGTCTGAGGGATCAGAACACAAGATTTTTGAAAATCTTGCAAACTGGCATAACCTTAAGTATACCGCCTGAATAAAGGTATTCATCACCTATTCTCACTCGTATAAACAAAGTCGTTGTAATAATGCACTTGATTTCTTTCAAGATCTTTCGCTTAAGACTTTGAGACCACGAAAATGTTTTCGTCTCTTCGTAGACGTTTGTTGCTTAATCTGACTTACCATAACTGCATACTCATGTGTAACGTTGGATTATCTATTCAAACATTCCCATGATGTAAACCGTATATAAATTGTTATTTTAAGTGTGAACAGATCTTAATAAAAATTTCATTTTATAGACAATGTACTTGGATATCTTAAGCAGTTGTCGATGTTGAACTGAGCAATTTAGATAACAGGACAGAGTCGTCAAGACTTCATAAGGATCGTACCTTGACATTTTCCTATGGATTTCCAACACCTCTGTACTCTGTGTTAGCTTATTCTGCGAGAGATTCAGCAACAATTTTCTATACGGCTAGCATGAATGGGTTTCATAATATGATGTTCCTGCAGATTAATTCAAGATTTTATTTTCGACATTTTGACAAATATCCAGTGCCCATTTTACTGGCTCTTTGCTTATGTAAGGACAGGCATCTGCACATTGTTCCAAAACTGATCTTGACACTCTTCTACTTTGTCTACTTTTAGATAAGATAGTAAGGATGTGATATGTAGGGGGCTATAAAAATGAAAGACAATGGTAAAGTAGAGCTTTCTGTCTAGTTTCTAGTTAAAACTTATTTATGCTAATTAGCTCTTTGAGGGAATCTAATAAATGTAAGTAATTTTTCATTCGTATAGTATAAGGAATCAGAACACAAGGTTCTTCTGAATCTTTCAAAATGAGAAATACTTGAGGATACCAACTGGTTAAAGGTGTTTATCTTATATTCTCACTCTCATACACAGAATCCTTGTCTTAACAGACATAATTAGTAAGGTATTTTTCTTAAAATCGTGATGCTAATATATTATTTTTGTTTCTTCGTAACATGTATAATGCAAAATAACTTGTTACTCAAACAGTCAGTTTGCCATATTTGCATCCTCTTTTGCGTTGGATTATGTATTTATGCATTCCCATTATGTAAACCGTATATAAATTGTTATTTTAAGTGTAAACAGACCTTAATAAAATTTTCATTTTATAGATAATGTACTCGGACATCTTCCTTAAGTAGTTGTCGATGTTGAACTAAGCAATTTAGATAACTGGACAGAATAATTATGACTTCATAACGATCGTATCCTGACATTTCCCTATGGTTTTGCAACACCTCTGTATGCGTTTGTGTTATGTATGTTTTTAGGCTCTATAGATATGCAGTTTACTATACCTAGTTGTACTAGAGATTCAGCAACAATTTTCTGCTTGGCTAGCTTGAATGGGTTTCCTCATATGATATTCCTAAAGATTAATTCAGGATTATATTTTCGACATTAAGTTATGGCAAAATATCAAGAGTGGCCTATACAGACTCTTTGTTTATGCAAGGACATCCATCTGCACATGGTTCCATAACCCCTGAGATGTCTTTGCGGCCTAATCGCTGAAATGGAATATATGAAAGGAGAATGGTTGCAGAAAGTATCTAATTATAAATCAGCACGTTTCCAAGCTGCATTTTTGTCCTTGTCTTGATACATTTTGTGTACCCTCATTCTTTTTACCGGGTAACTACATCTGCCGGAGTGCAATTTGTTATGTCAAATTGCGATTGCTTATGTCTGACTGCGGTTTTTGTAAAATGCTGCTTGCTATCTTCTAGTGACTAGCAGTAGCTCTGTGTGTTATGCTGTGCTTGTTACCCTGTCGCACCCTCGTAGACATCAAATACGTCTCGCACAACGAAAACAATGATTAAATAAACACTGTAGTTGCCCGTTATTGCGTATAAAAGCAGCTAAATGCGATCTTTATACTCGGTTATATTTCCTGCAATTTTCAAGCTGTACTGTCAACACGTTTGAAAAGGGTGAGCTCATATATTTGCCGCTTTGTGATCTCTTAGGCCCGTATCGTCAGTCGTCCCTACAATTTTAGGCCGCCTTTATGGCCTCCTTGATTGTCATAGTTTTCTACTTCTCCGTGTCAGCGCTCTATTTTGAGGTTATGTCACAAACATCTATTTGCATCAAATTGTGCTTGCTTTTGAGTTATATCATGTCTTATCAGCCTGAAATTTCCTACAATTTAAAAAGAAAACATATCTTCACAATAGGAGGGCGCTGACGCTGACACGGGACAAGTGTAATCTAGAAATTTTTGAAGGAGAGAAAGCGCCCTACAATTGTAGGGACGACTGACGATACGGGCCTTAATCGCGTTTGACTACGCGTAGACACTCTTTGAATCATCATTATCTGGTAGATATCGTTGTCAAATAGTATCTGTGGATGGCGAAGAATCAAACTATATATCGACAGAATATGGTGTGCCGCAAGGCTCTACTTTAGGGCGTTTACTTTTTGTAATGAATTCTTCCATTATTTATCAGCAATATATTGCGTGTGTTTTGCTGACAACACTAAGTTAGTTCAATCGGGTGAGGACAACGATGTACTCATTGCAAACGCTATAGACACCGAATTAAAAGATGGGTTGTGGTGTACTGTGTAAAACTCAATAGAGACAAAACACAAAGGGCCATTCTATCAGTAAGCAATCGGTTAAATGAAAAGGAGATGGTTTCTCTTCTTGGCATGAAAATTGATGGCGTTCTCGAATGGGCACCTCATGCAGGCTCTCATGGGAAAAACTTTACAACGTATCACTACGCAAGATTGAGTTTTAACTACATATTTCGGCACATTCCACTTGCATCTGATCTATAGCGTCATGATTTGGGGAGGATCAGCTAACGTTGTATGTGCATTTGAAATGCGAGAACGTGTAGTAAGGATTATAGCAGGTGCTGAGTTCAATGAACACTGTAAGCAAAGTTTTATTACAAATGTTGGGATATTACCTTTGCTATGTATTTTACATACCATGATACCAAACAGGCCGCAGCCCTGAGACTGTTACGTTATGGATGGATGTATCTGGCAAAAAACTCGATTTCAAAAGTGGTACATTATTTTCTTCCATCCATTTTATAGCCTTTTTTGAGGTATGGCATGCTGAACCATCTTGCTGAAACACAAAATCTTGGCCGGATGCCAAATTTGTTTGTATCCACACCATCAATAAAATGAAGTTTGCCTCCTCCTTTTGATGACATACTGCCCCAGACCATAATGGATACTGGAAATTGCACTTTTCTCTTCAGACAGTCAACATGGAATGCTTCATTTTTTTGCGAATAACTCTACTGTGACTGTCACCAACACAAACTTCAAATCGGGCCTCATCACTCCATTGTATTGCACACCATTGTTGAGGTGTCCATCGTCTATGTTCTTTAGCCCATCTAAGCTGATTTTTCTTTTGCAGTGGAGGTAATAGTGGCCTCTCTTTGGCCTATAAAGAAGTTGTGCAACTTTAGGGTTTTTACTTCACTTTTTTTTTATAAGAAAACTTAGCTTGCAAGTGCTAAATCCCAGTTTGTGGGCCTCTCTATGAGTTGTGGACCTCGAAATTCTCCTTCCAACAGCGGCACTCCACAGAGCACTTAATTGTAAATAATTGGCACGCCTGTTTTTCACGATTATTCTTCTTAATGCTCTTCGGTCGGCATTTGTGATATTACTTTTTTTCACATATCGTGGCTTAATATTAACTGAACCAGTTACTTTATATCTTCTAGCAATATTTCTCACACTGTACCGCGATAAGTCTAACAAAGTTGCAATTTCAGAGTTTGATTTCCCATAATTAAAAAATTTAATTAAACAATTGTCCTGCCTTTTATTTTTCACAGCCACCTATGCGTTATTGACTTATTTTGCATTGAAATGAAAATAGGTTGATATGCTGTAATTGCAACATGTGTTATTTTTATGCTGCAAATTTGATTATGGAGTGATAAAGTTGGTGTTTTCTACTATATATTATCAAAATATTCATTGTTAATATTTTCAACCTATAACACCCTGCTACATTTTTATTATTTGTGTTTGATAAGAAAAAAACTAAGATTTCAATAGTTGGGCCAACTGAAGTGGGAAGGGGCTCGTAAATCAAAAAAAGAATGAAATGTATGCTCCTCAATGATTGTTTCTAGTCTTCTGAAGGATTTTCAAATTACAATTTTTGTGATGCATGTCTCATGTGCCCACGTTTTTTATTGTAAATGTTTGACTTGTATTCTACGATTTCTGCATTCAATGACTTGTCATCGATATCCCTTATATAATATGACCAATTAATTATCTACATCTGCATCTACTAGTGCAATGGGAGTTGCAGTAGTTTGGGCAAACATCAGCAAAATGGCTGCTGTGCAATTCCTCTATAGGTGGCGTTCGCAACGTGTGAGCTATTTGACCATCTGAATAGCGTCGTGCGAATCGCAATTGTCAAAATGCTATGTGTTACGTGAGAAGCATGTCAGTTATTTTAAGTGTGGTGAACAGAGTCTCTGGGGAAGACAGATAAAAATATCCCAGTTATTGTATTTACACGTCTTTAATCAAGAACCGTTATTAAATGCCATTGCTTGCTTGATATTTCCAAAAAAATGTTGTTCATAAAACTTGGAGTACTGTAAAAACGCAGTTTCACTGGGTCCGGAGATGAGTGGGTAGTAAGAAAGGGAGACCTGAAACTTCCTACAG